CAAATCCATTTGCACCACAGACAAGTACATCCTGAGATTGGCTTCCATCAGGGYAAACCTGTGCCCACACCGTTCTGATAGCCTTTCCCAACCTTGCATTGGGAATATATCTCCWTGAAAYTAAAGYACATAAGRATGGAGATATTCTGAATGCAAAGCAGTAAAGGCTGCACGAACGGGCTTTGCCCTGATTGAAGCCAAACTTGCATATCCTATGATGCAATTATGATGACCAATAAAAATGAGTTTGTAAATTCATGGTAAAGTTCTTCACATCTTCTCTTAATTGACAAACTTTTTTTATCATATAGGAGTGCAAATCATAGTTACATACAAATGGATGCAAAATTGAATTGCCTATTTTATATATTTTAAAAAATAAGCAATTTGGATTTTTTTAATACAAGTAARAATAGAATACATGCATATATTGTATGGAGAGATTTGCCTCATCTTTTCTTCTCTTATTTTATTGGAAGATTTTGCCTTATTTAATCACTAATAAACAGCTAGAGCAGTTTAATTAAATGGTATCCAATATCCACATCGAATAAGGGGATTACTCTGACCAAGTCAACATTGACCTTGCAGAACCATCCTGGGACATTTGTAAGTGAAAGGTGTCCACYAATTAATAAGTAGACCTCACTATGACCCAGTCAAAATTGACTTTGGCACTAGCTGTTTCTCATCCTCAACTTCAATGGTATTCATTGCATAACAAACAATTTTTTTTTTTTTAATTCTTGATAAATGTTCTCATTTCTCTCCTCAATATGTTGAATTGGTGATGGAACACACATGACTTCTAAGTGAAAGAGTAGCACCTTGATCAACAATATACTACAGCTCCCCTCCACTTGTTGGGATTATAGCTACAAGTACAACTCTTCACCTTGTTCAAATTACAAGCAAATGTGTGCTGCATGTGACAATTTCTAATAATATGAATTCATGCGAAAGAGACATAGTTATCAATGCAGCTAGCATTGAGCTTAACAATTGAATTGCTTGATCTGTCTGTCACTTGAACAGATTCTTGAGACAGTTTCAATCCAAACCACTTTGATGCAAAAGAAAAAGAAAAAGGAAAAATTGTTGGCGAATTGGTCAACAAGTTGACAATCAAATTGGTTAAATCACTGACTTGTTTGACCTGATCAACGAGTCATGGGTTAGAGATATTAGTTTTTTTTTTCTATTTTTATTCATTTCTATCTTTAATAACAATAACTCTCATTTATTGCATATATTTTTGTTTAATAACATGAACATATGATCTTAGAGACATGCATGCCTAATTTTCTAACACCACATACCAGAGTTGAGTTGTTTAACCCAAAAGGGAAATACATTCTCAATCAGTTTTTAAAACAACTGTGTTGGATCAGTTTTTTAATCCTATGATTAATATGTTAGTATCAACCAATTGAACTGGTTGATTGCTTGACCAAACTTTACTTGGCCGCAGAAAACTGTTGACTCAGACAACAACTATTGGCTATCGGTGATCTAGCTCCTGTGGTGGTCAATCGATTCTGTTGATTAATATGGGAATGGAAATTGCCAGCCCAGGCCAGGTCTTTTTTTGGGTTACGTTCGTTCTCTTTGTATGTAAGTTCATAGGCTATGAGACGAGGGATTCTGTTGACTATGCATCTGGAGATAAAGCGACCCCTTTGGTGTATATAATGGCTGAAGTGCCTGAAATGTATGACTTACCTGTTACCATTGCAATGTCTTTTAGGCTGTGTTTGTGTTTGGTTTGAAGGAATACAAAGGGAAAGCGCAGGAAGAAAAAACTGTACAAACCTTATATAGGTTTCTTTACCTTATATCCTAACTATT